TGAAGTTTGATATTGGCAAGGCTCCCAGAAGAGCTAAAATAAGGAAAAAACTCCAAAATTTTCATCCACTAGAATTGCAAAAGTAGTGATTCCTTTTATAGCAAAATTGCTCAGATGACTCATATTTAACCCTTAAAGTTATATTTGTTTTGTATATAGTGCATATAACTAACAGCATGTGTGATGTTTGACTTCAATACCATTTCATTTCTCTTGTATTTTCATAGCAATAAATAAGTGCTTATAAATAACTTGCTTCTTCAGTGGTCATTCTTGCTTAATATATTAATATTTTTATGTTATTAATACAAATTTACACTTTGTGTTTTAAACATGGCTAGCAATTTTCTCTTAGAATAAATTGCTGTGAGAAAATAATGGTCCATGGAAACTGAAATATCATAGAGGAATACTTCAAGTTTGACAATATTTTGGCAAATAACAAGTGATAGAACCCCATCTATTATACTCAAATTTTAATCTTTGCACATTTCCCACTAAATTTTAGGTGTCTAACCCTGGAGGATAAGCTTATTCCCCTAAAACATTTCATATAGTCATAGAGGAAAAAATCTTCAATATCTGCAGAGGAAAATATTTTTCTTAAGTCAAACATTTTTTTCTTCTCCATTAAGAGCACAGTAAACCTCTAGAAAATACTTGTTCCTGGTTTTGCACTTGGGTTTCTCAGTGCTATGACTGAGACAGTGAAGAATGCACTGCAGAAAGAATGTCTAGTATCCATGTTCCCCACATCTTAGACAAGTATTATATCCTCTAGATTATTATGCCAAAAATGAGTTTCAGCATCATCAGTGAAGCTCCTAGTCCGGAACTACAACATATTAAGCTTTTCTGGGGAATTAGGAAATTTGAGTTCGGATTGCCACAGGGGTATACAAACACTGGACACATATCTTTCTGGAAAGACATTTCTTAGCACTTAAAAATAACTCACAAGTCTTTTATGCTGAGGACTTCAATAATGAAATAGATTACCAGAGTTAAAATATTCCAGACAACTGAATGAGTGGATCTATATTATAAGACATAGGTGGGTAAGAGGTTTTAAGAGAGTGAACTCACATGCATATATGTTTTTATTAAATTATATTTAATATTTTTTCTCATTTGCCAACTTTATCAAGACAAAATATGTATAACACATGCATAAACTGAAATGTTTTAATATACTCTCAAGAGCAGACTTTCAAAGGGAGTCTGTATCTATGTTTAGTTTTAACAATAGGGAAGACAATTTGAAAAAATAAAAATGACTGAATATTTTGAAAAAAATGTAAATGAAGAGTCAAGTTCTGAATGTCAGGCTCAGAAATGTTTAAACCTGATAACAAAGATATAAAAATGTTTATGAGGAAGAACGGAATGTTCACGGAGCAATTGCTTATTATAGTGGTAGCTCCACTGACTTTATCAGTTGTACTCAACCATGTAATGGTATTAAAATAATCTAAGGATTCAAAGTCTATTTTTCTGAAAATAAACAATTGTGAGAACCAGAAACAAATGAATTCACTGTAGTGAGCAACATGTACCGAAAGAGCAATTTTTATGTTCTCTTTCAAATGAAGAAACTTTTTATTCCTCAAATCAACCTAATCAGGTAGAAGTACCATTAACTGTCACAGTGTAACACTGTAACACTGTATATGACTGACTGAAACAGCATGGATTTTAAAATTTAACTATTTTATTTAATATTCTTAACTTTGGGGTTAGGTTATCAGTCTGTTGGCAAGAACCCCAGGGCTGTAACTGCCCTGACCCACTTCAGCTGGGAGCCCCATATTGTCTTGGTAAGCACATTTCATGACCAAGGGAAACTAGACATTTATTGGATACATACTGACTAATTCACTCTGTTTTGGTTTATCTGAAAATTAAATACTTGTTTAACTTCACCAGTGAGTACAAATTTTTAAAACTGTGGCTAACTTACACATTGTAAGTCTCAAAATATTTTTTTAATGAGAAAAAAAAAAACCCAAAACAAACCATCATATATATACACAGATAAGAATTTAATATTGGTGTAATTTATACATTAATAATCTAATAATTCAAATCAGAATATCCTCCATAAAAAATGTAGTACAAATTGTTACATTAGAAAGCCCTTCCTGGATATTACCCTTCCAATATCTCTTGATATCCTGAAGGTGACAGGGGAATCTTCCTCAAGAAGGAGGGCTATGGTGAGTCAACAGCATCCTGAGGTCTTTCCTGAGACAAATACGATGTTCATGGTGGGGGTCCCCTACTCCTCAGTACTGGGATCTTCTTGCCTTTATTTTTATATTTTTCCTCACCCTGGGCTGCTTCCTTCTGGCTGCTCCTGGCTGAGTGTGAGAATGACCCCACAGTCACCAACAGGCTTAGCCCCACCATGGTCTTTTGCCTGCTGACCAGTGAACCCCTGGGTTTGCTGGACACTTCCCACAGCTTTTTACTATGAATTGCAAAAATTACATTTACTGCCCTATGCATTTTATTCTTATTTGCATATAAACTATATAATCACCAGCAACAAAGCTTTTATGCATTCATTATATTAAAGGATTTTTTTTTCTTTTGATATCCTGTATGTTACATAATAAAAGATCAGCAATACTTGGGACAATAAAATATACACTACATACACTATTATGAGTAATTTTTTGTAGACAGAAAAATTGCAAATCATAGCAAATTCTAAGACATTTATAAACCTTAATTATTTTTTCTGAAAAGCCAGTTAATCATAAAAATCTTATTCTGACACCAAACACATTTTGTTTGAAGCATTCTAATATTTTTACATTACCAGCAAAAACTGATATCTTTTTGGCTTTGTATTAATCACTTTGGCACAACTTTGAAGTTCAGAATTAGAATAGGTTATTATATACTTATTTTAAGTTCACATACCATGGCAGAGAAGAAACACTTAATGCTATAGGTTCATTGAATTACATATAAAATTAACAGTTGCAGTACTTTGCAGTGATTCATTTTTAATTCCCACGTCATGGTGGCTTAATATATAATTGTTGATGTAAAAACGTAAAAGCACTGCCATGGTTTAACCCGAGCCAGCAATTAAATATCACACACCCGCTTGCTCACATACCCCCTGCAGTGGAATAAGGGAGAGAATCAGAAAAGGAGAAAAAAAAAAAAAAAAAAGAAAATAAAACTCATGTGTTGAGATAAAGACAGTTTAATAGGACAGAAAATTAAGGGGGTGCGGGAATAATAATAATTAAGAAATCTACAAAAAAAAGTGATGCACAATACAGTTGCTCTCCACCCGCTGACTGATGTCCAGCCAGTCCCCAAACCATGATATCCCCTGGTCAACTCCCCCTAATTTATATACAGGGCATGATGTCATATGGAATACCCTTTGACTTGTTTGGGTCAGCTGTCCTTGCTGTGTTCCCTCCTAGCGTCTTGTGCACTCCCAGCCTCTGCTGGCAGGGTAGTATGAGAAGCTGAAAAGTCCTTGACTTAGTATAAACACTGCTTAGCAACAACTAAAACATCAGTGCATTATCAACATTATTCTCATCCTAAATCCTAAACATAGCACTATACCAGCTACTAGGGAAAAAAAAAAAAAAACAAAAACAAAAACAACAACAACAACAACAACAAAAACAACCAACTTTATTCCAGCCCAAACCAGGACAATAATAAAAGTATGTGAAATCATAGAGAGGAGGCATTACATTTTCTGTGACTATGTTTTTTATTCATATGAAGGAGATCCATGCTCTGAATTCTAAAGTTGGGCTAACAATTAATGCAAATGCAAAATTAAGAAGGAGTGAAAAGATTTAGTGTTTACAACTGTAATCCTGTTGTAAGAGACTGAATGTTAAATCTAGGGGAGGAAAAAAATCACTTGTAAAGTATATTGAAGGTGCTATATTATCTCATTTCTGAAAATCTTTATATAACTAGCTGTCATTTAGACGCTAAGTTCTTAACTAACTGTAAGCATATTAAAACAAATAATAAGGGCCTGAACTAAAGCAAGATACTTTAATTATTTTATTGTCATACAGCTTATAATTTTCAAAATAGATTTGAAGAAGAGATGATTAGGAAGAATCAATTACTTCTGCCGAAAAAAGCATAAAAAATTGAGTTCTCTTCTGTGATTTATTATCGTTCACGTAAAGTGGCTGTTAAACAACAATTTTTCTACTGATCACTGTAGGTGACAAAAAATCTACAGGGTGACCTATGGAAAAAAAAAAATCCCTTAGATGGGTAGTATCACATGAACAACATTTTCTTTGTGCACCATATGTTCATGGGTGACAATGAGTCTGATGACAAAAGAAAAGTAGGAAGCAGTGGATGAGAACAACAAAAAACTTTCTCCCTACCAGCTGATGGTTTAGGTATACACAGGCTAATGAATCCTTTCTACTCATGTCCACAAAGAAATCCAGACTGCTTTCCGCACTTTATACATTAAATCTGAAAAAAAAATTCTCTAACAAGTAGCTAAGGCAACAAGAAAGTCCCTGAAAAATAAAATCCTATTAGCATCTATCATGGCCATTTCTTCTCAAGCTATATGCACCTTGCATGTTGCAGTATATTTTACAAATGCTGAGCAAGATTTTTATGAGCTAACTTGAGTACTGGAAGGATATTAACTGTTGCAACATGGACTGGTTCAATAGGTAAATTAAGCCACATGGAGCTCTTTCTCTGTGTGGTTAGACTGGCCATTCCCTACGTGATGTTCATTTATACCTCTCTCAAATGTTCCAACAACACACTGAAATCCACAATATAGAAGTTCCCCTTGGTGTAATCTTTCTTTAACAAAGACCATGCAGCAATGTGGGCATATAGATATTTAGCAAATTTTAACATTTTGAATTGCATAATGACATGTAAATTTTTTCATTTACAAAAATTAAAAAGAAAAAAAAAATATGTCCTGGGTTTGAGTGAGTGGTAGTGGGGGATGGAGCTACAGCAGTGGCCCCTTGGAAGAAGCTTCTCAAAGCTCCCCCGGCTCCAAGTCAGACCCACCTCCGGCCAAGGTCGAGCCAATTAGGGATGGTGGCTACACCTCTGTGATAACACATTTGAGAAGGGAAATCTGGGAGGAGGAGATGGAGTTGTGAGGAGGAATTGCAAAAACACTAAGGTCAGTGGCAGAAAGGAGGGGAAAGGAGGGGGACATGTGCCAGCGCAGAACCCCCTGAAGCTTGTGGTGAGAAGGCAGGCTGTCCTCCCTGCCACCCATGGAGGTCACCAGTGAAGCAGATGCCCACCTGCAGCCCGTGGAGGACCCTACGCCAGAGCAGTGGCTGCAGGTGAGGAAGGCCGGGACTCTGTGGGAAGAAGAAATCCTCACTGTTGTAGTTTGGTGCTGGGAAGACTGCAACATGTAGGGGTCACCCATGCCAGAGCATCTAGGAAAACACTGAGGCCCATGAGAGGAATTCATGTCAGAGAGATTTTGTGGAGGACTGTCTCCTGTGAGGGGGGAACTTTGCTGTAGCAGGAGAAGAATGACAAATGTTGCATTCCATCTCCTCCTCCCCAAGGTGGAAGAAGTGGGAGGACTGAAACACACCCTCCATTCCCTGCCTCCTGCACCACTGGAGGGTATCAGGAGCAAAGCTGAGCCAGGGAAGAAGGGAGGGAGAGGGTGAAGAGCTAAGGCTTGGACAACCGGCCCAAGACAGAGTTGACCTATAGGTGAATCCTGTATATTTCATAACTGGTAACCATTATGCCAACAGGTATTAGACTAAGTTATAATAAACCACCCATCCTGATGTCAAAGGTGGAAGTGTTGAAGCCTGAGCAACAGGCCCTGAACTGAAACTGCTAACCCGCAATGTAATCCTCAATGATATATGCATGGAGGATGAGCTACCTTGAATGTACATTTCCCTTCCTTTGCATGTGAATAGAATAACAGAGTCATGGAGGCAGGTGTCTGTCCCCCAGACCTGATATGAGACCTTATGCAGAATTCCATTAGATAAACAGAAAAACTCCTTTAGCTTCTCCCTTGAGCGCTGGCCAGGCTCTGGGGGGAACCTAATGTGAGATTGAAACCAGGTATTTCTGCTTAAAACAAAAGTGCCAGCTATTCTGGCTTCCTGATTTTTGGGGATATAAGGCTGGGCCCATTTGCAGTGACTTTGGCAGCCTCACCTATGGGGGACGCACCGCGTAGGATTTCCTCCTTGCCGGGACAGGCTCTGCAAACCCACGCTGTAACCGCGGCTGCCCAGCCACTGCGGGGCTGGATGGTGGTGATGTATGCAAGTGGTGATGTATATTTTCTTAATCACTATTCTCTCTCTTTCAGGTAGTAATGATTTGATGCATTACCCTGTATTTTCCTATTAAAGTCCACTATTCTTTCCTTTCTTACCATATGTTTTCCATATTATTCTGTAGTATTATTTAGTTATTTCTAGTAAAATATGCCTGCTCTTCTCACTCTGGTGCCTGAGTTTAATTGGTATCCCTAATCAGCAAAACAAAATGACATCCTGTACAAGCACTCATAAGGTTCAGTCCAGCTCCAGTTTTGAGTACTCATTGATAGTGCCTGTGCTGTGATTGCTGCATGTCCCAGGAACTGAGTTCAGTTTTCTACATCACAGATGAGGTCTAACTTGTATCTTTTTCACATTGACAGCTCAAATCTGTACTGCATATCAACACACACTTGAATAAGAATTAGTTTTACATCCTTTTGAATTTGGTCTCTTTATCTTACACCATGTTTGTTTCTTGTACAATTTAATGAGAAACTAGGCAAATTCCATGTAGGGAATTCCTCCTTTTTTTTTTTTTTTTTTGTTAGTAGCTACTGTTTAACACCTATTCATGCAAAAATGTTATGTTTGCAGGCCATCCAAGCTAAGCCACTATCAGGTGTGTTATTCTTGATTCCCTACAACAGAGACATGACTCATATGAGACTATGTTGTTGTATGGTACTGGAAAGACAAGGGCCTCTGGAATTTAAAGATGTAAAAGGTCACATTAGATGCTTCCTTCTCATAACTGGCTCATAGAACAGGTATATTATACTCTTGTCTGATATTTTTAAGGATAGATTGTTTACGATCATGTGGAATTTAGCAAACCCTGTCTCCTAGTATTTGATAGAGTCATCTGTGATGCCATCCTGTAGACTGTCATCTGCATCTTCACAATTCTCATTCCTGTAAGGTGTACTTAACAATCAGATTTTTTTTTTTCCACATATAGCCTCTACTGAGTTATATTCTACATATTATTTTGTCATAAAGACTTTCTGCACCAATATGGCAGATTTATGAACATCATAACTGGCTATACTTGGTAACTTCATAATGGTCTTATCTTCTGCAAATTGCTTAGCTTCCATTGTGGGCCAACTGGCATCCTATTGCCCATGTAATCTGTGATGTTTTAATCAACTGATACTACCAGTGTTCATGCCTGAATAGCTTGAACCAAGAAGACATATTCAGATACTGAACACTCACCAGGAAATTTTCGGTGTTCTTACAGGATTTGTTGAGATTTTGACATCAACTGGCAGAATCTGAGCTATAATAACAACAGTATTCATGTACAATTCAGGTTACATTTGGTTATGCCCTAAACAATCTATACAAGCAATATGGTGATCATTTCCACAGGGAACAGCTCCAGACAGATTGGGATTTTCAGGTTCTGTCAGCCTGCCACCACCTTTGTCACCAGCATCCTAAACTGCCAGGGTGTGAGAGAATTGCATAACACTGTTGGCATGAAGTTTAAAATTCATACATAACACATACCTGCACACCCTATCGATATGTTTCTGGTCCAAATAACTCAAACACTTCCTTCACTTCTACATGGGAGACCACTCCCTATAAGATATTTAAGCACTGTTGTCCTTATATAAAACATGAATATCCTCTTTCTATCTGCAAAACACAAAGAACAGAAACATACTTTCCTCCTTGCTCTAAGACACTATTCCTTATTGTTGTGGTTTGAACTCAGCCAGCAGCCAATCACTTCCCCCTCCTGCCTCCCCTGTGAAATAAGAGAGAGAAAAAAAAGAGAGGGAAAAAAAAAAAAAGAGAGATAAAAATTTGTAGGTCAAATTAAGAAAATAATTTAAAAAAATAATAGTAGTAACAAAACAACAGTAACAATAGTAAATCCAAATGAGTAATATACAATGCTGTTGCTCACCGACTGGTGACCAGTACACAGCCCACCCCCAGCAGTGATCCCTACTGCACCAAAGATCCCACCATGCTGACTGGAAAAGGGAAATGAGAGAGCACATGCCTCCTTTATATACTGAGCATGATGTCACATGATATGAAATACATCAATGACTGATCCAGGCCCAGACGTCTAGCTGTGCTCTCTCTCAGACCAAGGAAAGTTAACTCTATCCTGGCTGAAACCAGGACACTAACCTCAAAATCATGGCTGCAGTCCCCTTCATACCTCTGCTAGAGAGGCAAGGAAAAAATACATTTTTTTTGTAAAATTCGTATTTGGATAAACTCCAAAGTGTACTAGTAATTTATTTTTCATATGTCTTTAGCATAGTATTGCTACGCTTCCAAATCTGTGCTCCTTCAGACTTACTGAGATGTAGCTCATGAGTTTTGAACGTGGTACATAGTGAAAAATCAACTGAGGAAAAGGTGTTGAAATCTTTACATAGAAAAGTGAATATATCATTTAAATCTAAACACACATTATATAGCAATGTACTTTTTTAAAAAAAGTTTATACTTCTTTTGCTTGCCATCTTGCAACAACTCTCCTTAAGTTCACCAGATGTGCCCCTATCCAACTTGGCCTTGAGCCTATGCAACTAAACCCCAATATGGAAGCAGGGGAAGAGTCCTTTCAGGGCCCTTATATCAGAGCCCATAGTAGAGTAATATGTGTGGAAATATGAAAATCAGCTCTTAGATCTTTCCCTTGTGGGGCTGTATCTCATTTTCTTCTTCAGTCTTGTGTCTAGAACCTGTTGCCTAAGCTGGGGAGATATAGAGATGGCCGTCTCATACTTTTTCTGCTAGAGAACATTAAATCCCCTTGCTGAGCTTGTCAACTTAGTATGAATGACATTGGCATCCAACACTGTCAATATTTTAAACATCACCTAACCACTTGATCAGAATGTTGCCAAGTAAATATGATTTTGCCATTATTAGTAAAAGAACATGGCATAGACTCAAGACTTGTTTGGGCTTGTTTTGGCCTTAACTTGTTTTAACGGTGATAGCAATTGCCTAGCAGTCAGGTGATTATTGTTCAGATTTGATTAGCATGAGTTTAGCTTTGTGCAGTTTTGTGATGTAACATCTGATGTTAATTAAAAAGTAGTAATAAAAAAATATATATTCTGTAGGAAATTATTTATAACACTAGAATAAAAACACGACAGACTACAGATAAAGAATTACACTAGAAATTGTGAAAACATATCATAGAGTCTAATTAATGGTCACTAAATAAATACAACCCTATACAAATCATGTGAATTTGCTGTTAGGGCTAACAAAGAGAAAAAAAAAATTACAAATGCATCGTGGAGTTGGTAACCAATAAAGAAAGAGCAATGAAGCAGATGATTGTGTTAGAAAATATTCAAAAACAAATTAAAGCAGATTCAAAACTGAGGAGAAAGAAGGTCTCCAGTATGAACACCATACTCCTCGTAGGGGGAGAACTAAGGATGATTTGTCATAACTTCCCTGCACTTTTTGAAGAAAATTTTTTGAGGAAGACAAGCAAGCACCATCAACCTAGGACTACAGTAACAGTGGGAGAGTGAGCACAATACCCAAGAAAAGGTAGAGAAAAGCTAAATATTATTAGACAATGGCATTTTTTAACTGTATTATCAAGGAGAATTTTCTGTACTGATTAGATAATTTGGACTATGAGTGTCAGTATTATTGTAACTGGAATAATAATAACTGTTTGCTGTATTTTGATTATAAATTCTTGGCTCTGCATACAGGGTATGTTCCCCTATGCTCATAACAAGATTTTGAGAGTAGCAGTAACCATCTGTGGTGTGTTGCTCATATGGCAGATATGGCAAGTGACCTCCTTGTAATACTGTTGAGAATCCTCCTGACAACAAAACTTTAAGACAACACAAGGTCTCTACAGGTAGCCAAACTCTTCCAGTTTTTGTGTGCTTATACCTAAGAGAGAGAAAAATGAATAATGAGAAGTCTTTTGCAACTATCCAGATCATTTTTTTACAATACTGTGCTAAAACTGGGATGTGTATATTGTGGGAAGTAGCAT